GCAAAGTCTATGCCTCTCAGTAAACGTCCTTACAGTTAGAGTAGCCATTCTGAAACTGTGTGTGTTCACACTGGATCTTACCCGTTCACTATCAAATATATTTTGATGCATTTATCAAGCAACAACAGAAAAAAAAATCCTTACCAGATTTAGAACTAGAAAACAATTATATTTATATCCTGCTTCTTACCTCAAATCCATTACCTGCATTTAATTGTGATTTTATTCTGTGCCCACTTGTACATTCGTTTACTATGTACTTACCTTCAGGGCTAAATATCACTTATGAGGAAAATGTGGTCTTTGGGAGGGGGGGGTTGTGGTTTTTCTTTGTGTGTTTCTTTTAGTTGATTTTTTCTTTGTTTTGGATTTGGTTTGGCTTTGTATTGAGTTCCCCCCTCCCTTGTCTCCCTAACCCCAGCCAAGACAGGGTTTCTCTATGTATCCCTGGAGTCACTCTGTAGACAAGAGACAATTCTGTTCACCTGAACTCATAGAGATCCTCCTGCCTCTGCCTCCAGGGTCCTGGGTTCAAAGGCGTTCCCCACCATGACTTGTGGTTTCTCCATCCTGTTGCCTCCAAGCTGCCATGAACTGCAGGTCCTCACTTCCCACTGAAAATAAAAATCTGAATGTGAACTTGATGGTTCATGTCCTTGACCGAGAGACTGGCAGTTCAAATTAAAGGAGAGAATTCTGAAAGTGTGATGGAGAAAATAAATGGCTCATGGAGAACCCTCCAGAATCTGTGTCTGCTGTGCTGACTGTCAGGGGGGACAGGAGGAGTCTCTGGGAGCTGAGTGAGGATGGGGCTAGGCCAGGTGGAGCTCAGTCCATGGGGGTTTGTTGTGGTCACCCTCAGCTATGTCCTCCTTGGGACTTTTGTCCTTGTCACTTTGTATAACCACATGCTGACAGACTCTGACCACAGGGACACAGGGCTGGCCAGAGCCTTGTCCTGTCCCCAGGATGATGAACAGCCAGGGCTGATATGACAAGTCAGCCTGGGCTCCCTCATGGCTGTGGCTCTTCACCTGGTCTTCTGTGTTTAATTCTTGTCTCTGGAGTTCATGTGGAGGATTAGGCCCATTTTTCTTCCTGCTAATAGGGCCTTTCTCAGTATCCTATGGAGTCCCTAAATAGTGGCAGGAGCAGGTGTTTTCCATCCTTGTCCTCTCCAGGTCCAGCTAGGCCCCTGCACTCAGGAGACTGTGGGCTGAGATGATCTTCAGTCCCCTGAGCTCCTGCCTCCTTCCAGAGCTGTTGCTTGGAGGTTCTCCTGCCCCACCATCTTTCAGAACCTAACTCCTGTCTGTAGGATCAGCAGAGGGGATGGGTCCACAGGGTCTCAACTTGGAACAGGTCCTGTGGGGCCTGTGTCCTGCTCTGCTTCATTCACAACATGACACACAGCCTCACTCAGAAAACATGCATGGCAGGTTCCCAAGGTCATATCTCAAGTTTCTGGTCCTGCGGGAAAACAGCTACAGGTGGTTCTGTGTAGGATTCTCCCTCTCACACCAACACGTGCTAAAGGCATTCCAGCTTTGACACCATCTCCACAGTGGTGTGCTCCAGTGAAAGGTCGTGTTAGATTTAGAAGGCTCAGCTGCAGTCATGAGCTAAGTGGTACAGGGGTTCAAATTCTGTAAGTAAAAATACTTCCACACACTAACCCCAGCCCTCTGTTTTTGTTGTTGTTTTGTTGTTTCAGATTTACTTATTATACATACAGTGTTCTGCCTGCATGTATCCCTGCAGGCCAGAAGAGGGCACCAGCTCTCCTTACAGATGGTTGTGAGCCACCACGTGGTTTCTGGGACTTGAACTCAGGACCTCTGGAAGAGCAGCCAGTGCTCTTAACCTCTGAGCCTCTCCCTGTCCCTCTCTCCCTCTCCTCTTCTTCCTCCCCCTCGCTCTCCCCATTTCCCTTCCTCTCCCTTTCCCTCTCCCTCTCTCTACAGAGTTTTAACATTAGAACTTTTCTCTAGGGGAGTAATACATCAGGGCTTGACTTTTGCCCTAGTTTTAACTGTAAAATACAGACTTACCTTCTGCTCATAAAAAAGGAGATGAAAGCTGCTGCCCCCTCTCATTTTAATTGACCTGTGGGGACACTAGTGTGTGCAGTGAGATCTCTGCCAGTGATGTTATTGGTCAAGTAAGTGATCAGTAGGCATTCTGTGAAACCAGAGAGTCTTTCTTGGTTATGAGGAGTTCCAAGGGCTTGGCTCTCAGCATCAGTTCTTAAGGAACTTAATGAAAAGAGCATCTCAGCCTCCCTGTGAACTCTGCTCTGTCGTCAGTAACCTACAATCAGGCTCTCAAGCTGTCATGAGATACTGTGCTGTTGGGAATGGTGAATTTTCTAAACAAACTTTACATGCTATAACATGATTTTTACAACCTAGTACATTGTTTTACTACAATTTCAATATAAATGTACATTGTTTTTGAGTGACCTTCCATTTTAAAATTAAATTACTTTTAGTTATGTACTATATTTTGTAAACAAATATGAGTTTGTATAAAGGCAAAAAACAAGACTTTTTAAATGGCAGACAATAATTTAAAAAACAACATATAGGAATTAAATTAAATGTGCTGCTGGAGAGGCTACTCTGACTATTTTATGGGCTTTCGGAAAACTACTCCCCACACTGGGTCGCCTTGTCCAGCCTTAATATATGGGGAGGTGCTTAGTCTTAATGCAACTTGATATGCCATGTTTTAGTGATACTCATGGGAGGCCTGCCCTTTCCTGGATGGAGGCAGAAGAGGAAAGGATGAGGGAGATCTGGGGGAGATGAGGGAAGGGACTGGAAGGGGAGGATGGGGAAGGCTGTGGTTGCTATGAAAAATAAATAAGAAATAAATTAAAAATGTGCTGCTGGTCTACTGGGAATTCCCTAGCTTTCTTTAGTCCTGGCTTGGAAACATATATGTCAAATTTCTGTAACCTGTCTTCAGCCAAGAATTTTGCTAACTCATATCTGTTTACAGTTTGTATAAAGTAAAACAGGAGTGTGTAACTGCAGCCTGGTCTCCAGAGCGAGTGCCAGGATAGGCTCCAAAGCTCCACAGGGAAACCCTGTCTCGAAACCCCCCCCAAAAAAAAGAAAGAAAGAAAGAAAGAAAGAAAGAAAGAAAGAGAGTGTGTAACTGCCCTGAGCAAGATGGTTTTGCTCATTTTATGTGATGCTTGCCAAAATAAATGATAAATGGCTTAAATTTAAAGAAGAGCTTTATTACAAAGATGCTGTCAAGAACACTCTTATGCGGGCAGTGGTGGCACACTGATCCCAGGCTTCTCAGCAACTTCTCACCTCACCCCTCCCCAAACCTCTCCAGCCCCTGAGCTTTGCTTCCCTCCCCAGCTTCTATTTCCTCTACAACCCAGCCATTTGGCCATGTGCTTTCCATTTTGGCTCCACTCCAGGTGCTCTTGACCTCTTTGGCTCTTCTCCCTCTCCTGGTTCCCTCTCTTGTACCTCTCTCTTCTTCTCTCACTCTTCCTGTCCCCTCCTCTCATGGACCAGTGGTTTTTGTTAGTTGGTTGATTGGTTGGCTGATTGCTTGATTGCTTGATTGCTTGATTGATTGGTTTTTCAAGACAAAGTTTCTCTATATAACAGCTCTAGCTGTCCTGGAACTTACTCTGTAGACCAGGCAGTCCTCGAACTCACAGAGATCCACATGCAACTGCCTCCTAAGTGCTGGGATTAAAGGTGTGTGCTACCACCTCCCAGTGGTCTAGTGTATTCTGATGGCCATGTTCAGGCTGGACTCTTCCAAAGGCCTCTGGCTGTTCTCTCCCTTACATCTTCCATAAGAGTCTTCTCAACGGCCCAGGAGTGGTCATGTCCTCATTGTCATTCACTGCCATCCACAACCATTTAGCTATTAGACTTTCACAGTCCACTGTGACCAGTTTCTCACACAAGGAAGCAGTGCTGGGCTCCTTCCGATGACCCTCCTTAACAACCAGCCTGGCTATTCACCTTCCCCTGGTCAGTCCATCAAATGCTAAGGTCAGTGAAGGGACTCTGCTCAAGTTATTAGGGTTCCCCTTCAGCTCTCTTTAATCTGAGGGACTGTCCTAATCAGGACAAATCTTAAAAAAAACCAGGTCCTTCTGTGCCCACACCCACAGTGTAATAATTCTATGTGGGAGATTTCCTTCACTGATCATAGCAAAGAGCTCTGGGTCCATAAAGAGTTACCAGAAGTCCCTCTCTGCTCCTTCCTGACTGCCAGCAAAGACAGGGACCTCAACCTGGAACTGAGAAGCAGAACCCTTCTGCAAGTTCCCTGTGGGCTTGGAGAACCCTAAGGTGCAATTGAGACACAGCCTCCCCGGAGTCTCCATAGCGCTTGCTGAACAACTTTGCAGGTTTATTGAGAAAACATATCTCGCTGGTCCTTTAATTCCAGCTCTGAGTAAACAGAAGCAGTTGGATCTCTGTGAGCTAGAGGCCAGCCTGGTACATAGAGCAAATTTCAGGACAGCCAAGGGCTACACAGAGAAACCCTGTTTCCAACTCCCAAGAAAAAGCAAGAGAAGAAGAGACACAGAGAGACAGAGAAACACAGAGAGCCAGAGAGGCAGACACTCGGGCCACAGGGGAGAAAGAGAGAGAGACCTATCTCCCCACTAAATTCCCAGACCAGCTCTCTGTTGTCCTCACACCCCCTGTCATTTGTTTTCTTCTGGAAGAGTCCTTGTCCCAGGAGGGGGTGGAGTGCATCTCCACAGCATTGAATTAGAGAGGGCCTGAGAATAGCCTGCAGTCTCCCCTGGATTCCACACACACACAGCCTCTGAACAGGACTTTGAGAAGACAGGTTGACCAACAGGCGCTCTTTCAGGGAAGTCACAGCAGTCTGAGGGGGGCCACGGGTCGATCTGCCTGAGTTTCACTTTCAACCTCTGGTGAGATTTTCTGCCCAGACGTTGATGACGCGACACCGATTCTCACTCTCATTTGGAGTTGGGCTCTGAGATAATCCAATCACTGTCGCTCTGGTTTGTAAATTTGCCCAAGATCTGCCCAGAACCAGACTCTCAGTGTCCCCAAGGATGGGGGCCACTGTGCACCCTGCTCTCCTCCTGCTGCTTGCAGACCCTGTGTTCTGGGCTCCAACCCGCGCAGGTGAGTGCCACCCAGGGGAAAAATGGCCTCGGCGGCAAGGGGTGGGGGCGGCACCCGGGAAGCCGCATCTTCCAAACTCTCAGCCAGAACTTTCAGATCCATTCTCCACCTGCATCCCTAGACCCGTGCCCTGCTCCCTTACCAGCCCGGTGCACCTGCCAAGAGGTGCGGGTCTCACCGCTCACCGCCCCCAGGCTCACACTCGCTGCTGTATTTCTACACCACCGTGTCCCGGCCCGGCCTCGGGGATCCCCGGTTCATTTTCGTGGGCTACGTGGACGACACGCAGTTCGTGCGCTTCGACAGCGACGCGGAGACGCCCAGAGTGGAGCCCTGTGTAGGGTGGATGGAACAGGAGAGGCCTGAGTATTGGGAGCTGCAGACCCAGATGGCCTGGACTCAAGCAAAGCTGTCCGGTGGGAGCCTGATGACCCTGCTTCGCTATTTCAACCAGAGCAAGGACGGTGAGTGACCCAGACACTTTGGGAGCACCAAGGTTGTCCAGATTCACTGGACTGGAGTATCACCCTAGACCTGCCCGGTTCGTTAAGCAGAAAAGGGCCCGCAGGGATTCGCTTGGACTTGGTCTGAAGTTAGTGGTGCTGCGCTTCCTAAGAGGGCTGACCACCTTGTCCCCGCTAGACTCTCACACGCTGCAGGGGATGCGTGGTTGCGACGTGGGGGCAGATGGACGCCTGCTCCACGGGTACAACCAGCTGGGCTATGATGGAGAAGATTACCTCACCCTGAACGAGGACTTGAGCTCCTGGACAGCGACCTTAGGTCAGATCTCTCAGGGCAAGTTAGGAGACCACTTGAAGGACAGCTGCGTGGAGACGCTGCACAAACACCTGGAAAAAGGGAAGGAAGTGCTGCTGCGCTCAGGTGCCCGGGGAGCCACACCCCGCCCAAGTTTCCCTCTGGCTGCTTGCTGGGAGTTTAGAGAGCTGGGGGTGCCTGCATGGGCAGGATGAGAGCACTTGGGGATAGCTCACAGGTTGAGTGCTGCCCAGCAGGACAGGTTCTGGGTTAGAGCCTTTCCTTTTCCGGAGGGGGAGGAGAGGGAGGCAGGTGAACCAGAGGGCCTTAGCTCACTCCTCCCCAGAGTCCAAGGAGGCAGGAGACAACTTGGTTCCAAATCTTTGACCAAGAATGAATCCCTCAGAGGACAGCCCTTCTCTTACTGCCAGTAAAGAAATTCATTTTCCCTAACAGTAGACCAACCTTTTAGTAACTGATCAACAGTTCCTTTACTTGGGCAATGGACCTGGACCCATAGGAGGTTTTTTCTCTCAGGCCTCCTCCAGTGTATCTGGAGTCTGGATCCTGCTTTTCTGAGTCTCCTGGCCCTCCCTCAGCTCAGGACCAGAAAACTCCTCCCATCCATCAGTCTGCAGAGCCCTGAAGCCCCCTACCCTAGAGCACCCCAAAGAACAGATTACCCCCAGTGCCTGCTCTACTTGGGGTCTATTAATATATGGACACCTAATCCCACCCCAGTTCTGCTGTCCATTCCTAGAATGGTCACATGAACACTGCTGAGTCCCCAGGAAAAAGCCAGATGCCTGATCTTCCCAACTCTCCCCCTCAGACCCCCCAAAGGCACATGTGACCCATCATCCTGGATATAAAGGTGATGTCACCCTGAGGTGCTGGGCTCTGGGCTTCTATCCTGCTGAGATTTCCCTGACCTGGCAGTTGGATGGGGAGGACCTGATCCAGGAAATGGAGTTTGTGGAAACCAGACCAGCAGGGGATGGAAACTTCCAGAAGTGGGCAGCCGTGGTGGTGCCTTCTGGGGAGGAACAGAAATACACATGCCATGTGCACCATGAGGGGCTGCCTGAGCCCCTCACCCTGAGATGGGGTAAGGAGGAAGTGGGTGCAGAGCTGGAGGCAGCTGTAGTCAGAGCTTAGAACTGGGTGGTCCTCATCTCCCCCTCCTTTCCCAGAGCCTCCTTGGAACAAGAAATATTGGTTTCTCCTCCTTATCCTCATCCTCATCACAGTTTGGGTGCTTTGCATATGTAAGAAGAAGGATGCAGGTAGGATGCTGAGTTTACTTGTCCCACTGAGGGCTTCAAGCCATAGGTGGCAGTGTCCTGCCTAGGTAATGGGATGTACCATCCACAGCTCTGTGTCTCCTTCATTTGTGACCTTTTTGTTTAGGCTTCAAAAGTAGAGAAGGGAAGATTTGCTTGGGGGATGGTTCTGGTGACTGAGATCTCATGTCCAGCTGTCGCAAGCAGAGGTCTCACTAAGGACAAACCTCCAGGAAGCTATTACAATGTCTCAGTTCTCGAAATTTCCCTTGGGCTAGGGACTAAGGTTCCCAACCCTTTGGAGGTCACATTAAGATATCCTTCGTATCAGACTTGCATTATGATTCATAGAAGCAAAATGACAGTTACGAAGCAGCAACACAATAATTTTATGGCCGGTGGCTCACCACAGCATGAGGAGCTGTGTTTAAGGGTGGCAGCATGAGGAAGTGCCTGCTCCCATGATACCCATACATGGATTTCTTTCCTCAGGTGGGAGAGGAAGGAGCCACACTCAGGAAGAAGGTAAGTGTGGTGAGAGGTGGTGTCTGAGACTCTTGGAGTCCATGAGAGCTCACCCAGCCCATAGTCCCCCCTCAACCTCCAGTCTTCTGAAGCCTGACCAGGTCCTGCTCTGTTCTTTCCTAGGCAGGAACAGTGGCCAGGACTCTGGTGAGACGGCCGTGGATGATGAGGTGATATGTGGGGAAAGACAGACGACACAGGTTGGGGCTGGAGAGAGTCTTTGCACTCAGACATTTAGAGTGAGGAGGAAGCTATTCAGAATGTCACCACTATACCGTGACATCTGCCTTAATCTTGTAGGAGATGGTCATTCTCTCTGGGGAGCCTGAGCCCTCTCGGAATCGTCCAGACCACTCCTTCAGACTGAGTGATCTGTCATTCTGAAAAGGTATCTGATTGTCCTCCCTCTACTCTGTGGCACTCAGAAGTCTCTGCTTAGTCTTCTCGCTCAGGGACACCCCCACTTCCCCGCCCTCTCCCACACCCAACTCCATGTGGAAGTGCCTGGAACAGCTACTACAGAATGGAATCTTTTGTTTTGTTTTGGTGACAGGGTTTCTCCATGATTCAGTCCTGGCTGCCCTGTAACTCACTCTGTAGCCCAGGATGGCCTCGAACCCACAGAGATCCACCTGCCTCTGCCTGCCAAGTGCTGGGATTAAAGGCATGTGCCACCACCATACAGCTCAGAATGGAATCTTCTGTTTTGTATATCACCAGACATCTTCACAGTCAACTTGACTGGACTTAGAATCACCTAGAAGCCGCCCCTCTGGATGTGTCTGTGAGGGTGTTTCTAGCCAGGTTTAACCCAGGAGGAAGAAACAGGTTGACTGTAAGGTAGCTTCACTCACAGCTGGAGTCTGAAGAGAAAGCCAGCAGGACACTGGAGTCCCCCTTCCTGTGTTTCCTAACAGGACATGAGCAGGCCATCTCCTGCCACCATGAACAGAGACAGGTCCCACTTTTCTGTCTTGAACATCTGACACCTGTCTCTTCCCTAAGTGGCTTCTCATCAGGTATTTTTTGTCGCAGGGCACAGGGTTAGACACAAAGCTCCTTCCCCACATCCAAGGCTTCCTGAGCATCACTCCCTAATCTTTTAGAGACTTTCACTCAGGCCAAACTGGGATCTATGGCTTTGGTGCGGAAAAGGATTATGGACTACTAGAGCTGGTGTTTAATAAACATGTTTCTATTTGTTTTTAATTTTAAGGTGGCATAAATCCATTTATTTATTGTGTGTGCATGCGCGTGTGAGAGAACCACAGCTCATGTATGCAAGCCACAGGACAACTAGCTGTAGTCTGTTCTCTTCTTCCACCATGTAATCCAGGGACGGCACTCGGGGATGACACACCTGGAGGCAAGTGACTTCACCCACTGAGTCATCTAGCTGTCCCAATAAGGGTCTGATCATTTATGTGTTACTTTCAAGAGGCTTACATTAAGTAGAAACTCTCAGAGAACACAGCCTGCATCTCTCGTGGGTCTCTTCCTGGCATTTTCCCCCAGGTTTCCCTTCATTCTCTCTGCCAAAAGTTTAAGATGTTCTGAAACCTCATCCTCATTTTCCTTAGCGCGTTGTTTCTCCAGAACAGTCCATCTGTGTCTGTGTTACAGGATCGCATGGAGTAACAGGTGCTGAATCTTGGTTGTGTTGGTCCTGGGCTTCTCACATTCTTTATGTACATTCTGACAATGTATTGGCCAACGTCACCAGCTTCTTTAGAAAGATTGAAAAGCTTTCAGATTCTGCAGCTCTCTTGAACCACACCCACTACAACCATCTACAATGAGACCTGGTTTATCCCAGCACTGTCCCCACTCATGATGCTGGATGTCTGCGGTTGTTAGTTTTTGTCATCGCTGTTACCGGATACCCAACAAAAGCGACTTAAGGGAAGAAAGGCTTATTTTGGCTGGTTCCAGGAGATACAGGCCATCATGGATGGGACAGCATGGTGTCAGGGACAGAAGGTGGCCGGTACAGCGCAGTCACCATCAGGAAAGCCAGGGGTTGAGTTCTTTGTGCAGCTCTCTCTCTCTCTCTCTCTCTCTCTCTCTCTCTCTCTCTCTCTCTCTCTCTCTCTCTCTTTCTCTCTCTCTCTCTCTCTCTTTCTCTCTCTCTCTCTCTCTCTCTGGGGAATGGTGCTACACTTATTCCCACCACCTCAATTAACCTAATCTGGAACCTCTGTCACAGACAGATTTGTGTCTTAGGTGATTACTGACACCCCCTCCCAGTTCTCCCTTCTTTTCTTTTCTTTTTAATGACATTTATTTATTATGTATATAGTGTGTTGTTGACATATATCTGCACACCAGAAGAGGGCACCAGATCTCATTATAAATGGTTGTGAGCCACCATGTGGTTGCTGGGAATTGAACTCAGGACCCCTGGAAGAGCAGTCAGTGCTCTTAACCCCTGAGCCATTTCTCCAGCCCCTCTCCCTTCTTTTCAATGTGCCCCTTTCCCCTGTTCCTAGACTAGGCTTATACCATTTGACCCTGCTTGGTTTTCTCCTTTCCAGGAGGAACATCAATTTAAGTCCAGCTCAGACTACATTAAAAGAACCTGTTTCAAATATTAATGATTAACTAAATCAATTAAACCTCCTGAATGATTCATTATTATGGACCTTATTGGAAAAGAGACCCAACAGTGTTGGAGGCAAGTCTATCGCATGCCTGCAGTGCCCAGGAGGCCAGAAGAGGGAGTTACAGGCAGTTGGGAGCTGCTCTGTGGGTGCTAGGGATCGAACCCTGCCCCTCTGCAAGAGTATCAAGTGCTCTTAAATGCTGAGTTCTCGCTCCACCCTCAAACTCAGTGGGTTTTTTTTTAATATTTATTATTTATTTTAATGTATAAGTGCTCTTTCTGCATGTATGCCTGCAGGTCAGAAGAGGGCACCAGATTCCTTACAGATGGTGTGGGCCACTATGTGGTTGCTGGAAATTGAACTCAGACCTCTGAAAGAGCAGCCTTAACCACTGAGTCAGCTATCCAGTGCACCGCCCCCCCCCCCGTGGTTTTAATATAATAGAATAGAAACATTCAATGATGGGGTCAAGTTATAATTAACCATCTAATTATACTTATGTGGTTATACTGTAATATATAAGATTCCATGGAACAGAGTATTTAAAAGAATCCTCCTGCCGGGCGCTGGTGGCGCATGCCTTTAATCCCAGCACTTGGGAGGCAGAAGCAGGCGGATCTCTGTGAGTTCGAGGCCAGCCTGGTCTCCAGAGCGAGTGCCAGGATAGGCTCCAAAGCTACACAGAGAAACCCTGACTCCAAAAACCAAAAATAAAAATAAAAATAAAAAGAATCCTCCCACAGACCGGAGAGGTGGCTCAGCATATACCTAGTTCTTACAAATAACCTGAGGTTGGGATCCAGCACTTACAAGGAGTTCACAGTCACCTCTGACTCCAGCTCCAGGAAATCTTCTGTCCTCCTCGGGCACTGCGCTCATATTCACACACAAAAACACACAAACATAATTCTAAAACAAATTAAAAGAAACAGAGCTTACATAGACTCTACACCAACACTCAGAAAAACACTGTGCCCAAGTGCTACAAGAGCCAGGGGACATGGGTCAGGTTGAAGTCCCAGGTCTTGTAAGGCTCTTAACCGTATTTTCTTTAATAAAGACGTCAGAGAGGTGCCAGCACTGGTTTTCCATACAAGGTTTCACTTTCTCTCTCAACTCTGGCCGGATTCTTCTCTCCGGACACAAATGATGCACTCACAATTCTCATTCTTGTTGGTTGTCTAGTTTCTAAAGAAGCCAATCAGCGACACTGTTTGCTACGTACAAGCAGTCAACAGGAACAAAGTTCACACTTTCCTAGGCCCCCGGTAATGTGGACCATGGCTTCTGTTTCCAGGCTCCAGCTCCTCCTGACTCAAGTTGCCCTAGTTCTGATCCAGACACAAGCGAGTGAGTAAGGGAGGGACGGGGGAGCGAAAAGGGCTCCGCGGGAAGGATCAGGACGCCAGGTGGGGCAACAATACCGGAAGCGAATCTCCTCACCCCTGTATCTCCGCGTCCCTCACCCCTGTATCCCCTGTCTTCTCGGGGGACCCTGAGCCCGGGAGGAGGGTCGGGGTCTCACCGCGCGCCGCCCCCAGGCTCGCACTCGCTGCGGTATTTCTCCACCATCGTCTCCCGGCCCGGCCTCGGGGAGCCCCGGTTCATCTATGTCGGCTACGTGGACGACAGGCAGATCGTGCGCTACGACAGCGACGCCGAGAATCCGAGGATGGAGCCGCGGGCGCCGTGGATGGAGCGGGAGGGGCCGGGGTATTGGGAAAGGGAGACGCGGAAAGCCAAGGACACAGGGAAGAACTTCAGATCGAACCTCAAGACCCTGCTCGGCTACTACAACCAGAGTGACGATGGTGAGTGGCCGCGGCCAGGATCACACACAGGACCCCTCCACGTCCCCGGGGACCGTCCTGGGTCATCGTGACCCGCTGCTGGGCCGAAGGTTCATCCAAACGCCTGCCCGGAGCCTCAAACGGGAAAGACCCCGCCGTGTCGCTTAGGGTTTTTCGGTTGCACTTTTGTTTCTGAAAGGTCGGGTAGCGCACGGACAGTGGGGCGGGATGACAGGCAGGTGGCGCTGACCATCGTGTCCCCGCCAGAACCTCACACGCTGCAGTGGATGTACGGGTGCGACGTCGGGCCGGACGGGCGCCTGCTCCGCGGGTATTGTCAGGAGGCCTACGACGGCCACGATTACATCTCCTTAAACGAGGACCTGCGCTCCTGGACCGCAAATGACCTGGCCTCTCAGATCTCTAAGCAGAAGTCAGAGAACGTAGACGAGGCCCACCACCAGAGGGCCTACCTGCAGGGCCCGTGCATAGAGTGGCTGCTGAAGTACCTGGAGTTGGGGAAGTCGACTCTGCTGCTCTCAGGTACCTGGAGACTCCTCCCCGCTTTCCCTCCGGAGTGTGGGCATAAGGCTTGGACATGCTCAGAGGATGAACTGTCCAGCAGGCGCTGGACTGAGGGAGAAGGAGAGGGAGACTCCGGGTTGTTTTTCTCCTAGGGAGACTAATCCTTTCACAGCACGTCAGCCTTGATGATGGCCCTGGACCCACAGGAGCTTTTTTCTCTCAGGCCTCCTCCAGTGTTTCTGGAGTCTGGCTCCAGCTTTTCTGAGTCTCCTGGCCCTCCCTCAGCTCAGGACCAGAAATCCCTTCCCTTCCATCAGTCTGCAGAGCCCTGAAGCCCCCTACCCCATGCTGTCACACCCATATCCTAGAGCACCCCAAAGAACAGATTAACCCCAGTGCCTGCTCTACTTGGGGTCTATTAATATATGGGCACCCTAATCCCACCCCAGTTCTGCTGTCCATTCCCAGAACGGTCACGTGAACACTGCTGAATCCCCAGGAAAAAGCCAGATGCCTGATCTTCCCAACTCTCCCCCTCAGACCCCCCAAAGGCATATGTGACCCATCATCCTGGATATAAAGGTGATGTCACCCTGAGGTGCTGGGCCATGGGCTTCTACCCTGCTGACATCACCCTGACCTGGCAGAGGGAGGAGGAAGAACAGACTCAGGACAGGGAGCTGGTGGAGACCAGACCTTCTGGGGATGGAACCTTCCAGAAGTGGGCAGCTGTGGTGGTGCCTTCTGGGGAGGAGCAGAAATACACATGCCATGTGCACCATGAGCGGCTGCCTGAGCCCCTCACCCTGAGATGGGGTAAGGAGGGAGGGGTGCAGAGCTGGGGTCAGGGAAAGCTGGAGCCTTCTGCAGAGCCTGAGCAGGGTCAGGGCTGAGAGCTGGGGTCATGACCCTCACCTTCCCTTCCTGTCCTTCCCTTCCCAGAGCCTCCTCCTCAGTCCACTGTCCCCATCATGGCAGTCATTGCTGCTCTGGTTCTCCTTGGAGCTGTGACCATCATTGGAGCTGTGGTGTTCTTTGTGAGGAAGAGGAGAAACTCAGGTAGGAAAGGGCAGGGTCTGAGTTCTCTCTCAGCCATTTTAGAAGTGTTCTCTGCCTCGTGGAAACACACATACACCCCATTGCTCCTGTCTCTAACCTGGGTCTGCTGTCAGTTCTGGAAACTTCCTAGGGTGAGGGACTTCCCTGGTCTCTTACAGCTTTTCTTCTCACAGGTGGAAAAGGAGGCTATGACCATTTTGTAGGTAAGTGTGGGGAGGAAAATTGTCCCTTAGGGTGGAGCTGGAGCTGATGGGGAGCCCTTCCAGCCACATGCTCTCAGTCTCCTAAATGCTTGGTCATTTCTTCTTCTGCAGGCAGGGTCAGTGCCGAGAGCTCTGATGTGTCTCTGTAGGTTTAAAAAGGTGACTCCCTGGGGACTTGGGATTGGGGTTGAGGCAGAGGGGAGAGGACTGGGTCCCAGGGCTTCTCAGATTTTGACATTTAATGAGTCTTGGTGGGACTCTGAGATGTTGTTATATTGGCTATTCATGACTCTTAATCTTTAGCTTCCGACAGCTGCCTCCTGGGGACAGGTTCTGACTCAAGAAACAACAAATGTCTGAAGCTGTCTGCTTTCTCCTGTGAGGACGATGAAAGATCTGGGGAGCCCAGCTTGCCTAACAGCATGCTGACCCTGGGATTTATCAGAAGAGTGACTTCTTAGTGTATGTCGTTGTGGTGAACATAAACATGCTTCCACAGCCAGTGCTTTAGCTAAGGCTTCGGCAAATTCAAAATACACCAGTTCCCAGGATCAGAAATGAAATAGTGTTAGTGCTGCTTTCCCACCTGCAAAAAAACAAACCTGGCAGATAACATTAAAAACATTACTCCCTGTCTCAATAACTGGCTTTCTGCATGTGTTTCTAACCTTATTTTTATATTATGAAATTCAAGGTTAAACTAACTGTTTGTGCAGAGTAGAAGAGTGTATCTTAAGATCTAGGGCTCTCGGGGGCTGGAGAGATGGCTCAGAGGTTAAGAGCACTGACTGCTCTTCCAGAGGTCCTGAGTTCAATTCCCAGCAACCACATGGTGGCTCACAACCATCCACTATGAGATCTGGTGCCCTCTTCTGGTGTGCCCTCTTCATGTGATATACATGGAAGCAGAATGTTGTATACATAATAAATAAAATCTTTAAAAAAAAAAATCTAGGGCTCTCTCTAGGCCACTGTCTCTTGCCCTGTGTCTTTCTGCCTGCTTTGAAGATTATACATCAGGGAAGCCAACTGACACCCAAGCATTGCCATGATTTTATGGTGGATGTGGTTTTTTCAATTAGAGCGAACTCTAATTGGCCTTTATAAAAACCCAGAATCAGATATAATGGTGAAAGCTGAATGATCAGAGAAGCAGAGCAGCCAGCCACTGGTTCTTACCTCTACTGAATCCTCAGACCAAAGGGAAGATCCTGTCCCTATGAACCCTCAGAGTGAATGCTGTCTTGACGGAAAACCTTGTGATTTCTTATGTGTTTATAGAAGGGCTCTCTCTGTCTCTATTGTTTATTTAAGAAATGGAATATGACCTTCAGTATGCAGCTCTTACATTGGCTAGGGTTCTTCGGTAGAGAGAATTTTTAAAGAATCCAGTAATAAACAAAGTTACTTTCAGATGTGAGCCTGTCTTTTCACTAAAGGCCTTTTTAGATAGATAAGAATTTTTCCCTAAACCTTCCCTATCGTGACCCAGCATGTCTCAGCCTTAGTCCATGAGGTTCTATCTGAGTGGGGGTGTGTGGACTGGAAGCTCCAAGCAACCCAACGTCAATAAAGACCAAACACAGGCATCTTGTCATCTTTAGAGAGCTCTCAATTCCATGTTGTGGAACTAGAGTCATTTCTTTATTAGCCATCTTTTCTGGAGCTTCTTACAGATCCTGCTAATAACACGAGGCAACCATTTCTCTCTTTGCTCTCCTCTCTGCTCTGGCCACTTGCCTCTTCACTCCTAACCTTCTGTCTTCCCAAGTTACTCATACCTCTGGCTCCTCCGCCCAGGTGAGGGACTATTCAGATGCTTAGGCACATACAGATGCAAATAAGAGGCATATTACCCTGAGACTATGGTAAACAGTAACAGCCTATTGTTAATTAACAATACAAATGACTGCACCTGTCTTAGGGGGTTCCCTTCAACCTACCAGGGGTGCCCCGTCATGGAATCACGCATTCCATCATGCGTGTTCTGTCTTAGGAATTCCCTGAAGGCAATGAAAACCGTAACCATCTTTGGCTGGAACCAGCCTCTGTAAAACAAATAAGTTTAGTGGGGGATGGGCCACGGTCCCACTCCAAGCCTTATGAATCAGCAAGAAACCTCCAGAATAGCATCTTAGCTCTTATGGCTGCAAACCTTCTCCTGCGGATGAAGACATTTAAAGGTTAAAAATGGCCTTTTTAAAATCTCTGTGGCAATGCCTCTAATGCTTCTTATTAAAGTTTGCTCCCTAAAACATACTTCTATCCTAAGGCTTGTAAACTGCATGTTACATATTCTGTAAGAATGAATTCTGACTTCTAGTTTCTAATAACATCTGTATAACACATATAGCAAGATTACAAACATTAACAATTCCATCATGAACATACATTAGGGTGAGTTACAAAGCAATCAAAAGACAATAAGATATTCTCACAATCTGTGGGGTGTGAACAATTTCACAATTTTAAATTTTTTCTTTATTCCCTGGCTGGGACTCAATGCCCCTTCAAACTTTTCTATCACTTGCTCAGAGTCCAAAGTTCCAACATCAGGTTTGCAGTATCAGTCTTTGAAAGTTAACTAAAAAGTCTTTTGTCCGTGTCTTGTTTAAACATTGTGAGGGAGCTTCTGCCACCCTGGTTCATGCCAGTATCCGACTGTCCTAAATGGGTCCTTTCTCCCAATGGGAAAACTGGCAAAACAGTTTTGTGTGTCTGCTTGTGGCAAGAAAGCAAGCTGTGTGTTGTCGAGTTCTTAGCCTGCTCCGGAATGAGCACTCACGGATTCAGAGAGGTGAATGTAGTCCGTCTGTAGGGAAGCTGGAAACTGGGTGTGTCTCCCTTCTTCCTCCGGCTGTAGGTCGGATGTCCTCAAGGTTCAGGAAATACAGGTCCAGTGTTTCACTCCAGCTGGTTCAGACGGTCTCCTGTGGGCCCAGGTCCCATTTTTCTCAGTTCCATGAATCTCACCAATCTTTCCGGTAGCCAGTGTACCTCGTTCTCCTCCTGCAAGCAAACACAGACATGCCCTCGACCCCCAAATAATTACGGGGTCTGGTCCCCTCTATTCATCTCTCCATTTGACCTGAGCGAAATTTGCTCGAGTTCCTTCATGCCAGAATCTGTCTGCATCAGATTGCTCACTGGCATCCATATTTAAAAAGTTTAAGATAAACAGTGCATTCTTTAATGTGGAGACTGGGGGCACAGCTCCCTCCTTTTTATCTTAGAAGCTGTGCTTTTAGGGCATTATGGGCCCGCTCTATTATTCCTTGTCCTTGGGGATTATAAGGAATACCTGTTTTGTGATCAATTTTTCATTAAGTCAAAAATAAGTTTGAAAGCTTTGTTAATATATCCAGACCCATTATCTGTTTTTATAACTTTTGGCATTCCCATGTAAGCAAAACATCTTAAACAGTGACTTACAACATGCCTTGTGGTTTCTCCTGTTTGTGGAGTGGCATATTTTTAACTTGCCAAACTCTGTAATGTGAGTCACATCCATTCACCATAAATGGTTGGGGAGCAGGCCTTGAGGATTCACCCTTAAATTAGCCATAGCCATATTGTGGACATATTCCATATTGTTTGATGATTTGACCAGCAGTCTCTCTGGTTAAGCCAAATTTCTTACTTAGACTTTTGCTATTATGATAAAGAAAGTTACAAGCCTGTCGAGCTTTTTCTATTTGAGGCAAATCAACCAATTTTGTTAATCAGTTAATTTATTCCCTTTGGCTAGTAATCAGGGAAAGGCCTATTTAATAGGTTCCCAATGTGATCCATAAACATGGTAATACTCTTAGGTGAATAACATTTTGAATTTGCTCAAATAATATTTTAATCTAATACTGGACCCTATGTATGGAATTGTCTCTATTATCTCAAGAGCCTTAAAGACATAGTGACCGTCAATATATAAATTTAAATTAATTATTTACCAGAATCTGAAAGGCCATTGCAACAGCTTGTAGTTTGATCATTTGAGCTGAAGCCAGAGCTGTCTGCTCTATCTATTCCTTTCTATTAATAATACTCTCCCAATAGAACCATTGGTAAAAATTTAACATAGCATATTTTTACAGGACTGCTTTTTATAATTTTGGAAATATAAAAGGATGCATTAGTGTAAATTTTAACAGTCCATGAGCTAGAAATTGATTATCAATTCTTCCTGAAAACTGAGCAAAGACAATCGCCCATAAATCATTGTTCTGAAACAACCAATTAAACTGTTGCTTAGTGTCGGAGACATGTATCATACTTGGTTTTCTCCTAAAATATTTTCTAAAATCTATATGGCATTTCTGTACCATGTAGGCTAATGCTTTAAAACAAGGGTTTAAAATATTTAGGCTGGTGAACCATAGTAATGGTTCCTTCTGCCATAAACCAGAAGTCGGACTATGCTTTGTGGGGAGTACATAAGTTTCCCATGGTTTTGCATAGTCAATATATGTGAAGATGCTGAATCACCTCTTCTAATTATAGAACTTGTCTATCTTTCTAGTTAGCTGTCTGGGTACATTTGGATCCTTATCTCCTTATAGAATCTTAGTTAAAGGATTTAAATCATTAGATGTCCTGAAAAAGGTACTTAACCAATGAATATTTTATAACAATTTCTAAAAAACTCATTTAAAGATTTTAAACTAGTTTTTCAATTGTTATCTATTAAGCCTTAATTTCTTTAGAATACAACATATGTTTTTAACAATTTTTTAGATTTATTTAAGTTTCTGAGTAGCCTTTTCTAATCTAACCTTCGAAGCTGACAAGCTAAGACCTCATTTGCATCTTAGCTGACCTGATTTAATCTGCATCTGCAAAGACATAATCAAGCTGTGAACCTAACAGGTTGGCTCTCTCCTGAGGCTTTTCATAAACCCTTTTTAAAATCATGTACCAATTTTTATTTTCTAGATTTCCGTTTTTAACCATAAAAATTTAGTAAGACCTGTGTCCTCTCATCTGCCAAATTTTACAGAATCATCCATAGA